ACTTACTGTTTATGTAAAATAAAAATGAGTAGTTCTCTTCAACCTGTAACATTGAGTGAACTAACACAATTTGATTATCAAACATTTGTAAAACAGTGATGATTATAAAAATTGTCTTTTCTGCTTGATTAATTCAAGAAAGAGAGTCACCAGATGGCTCAAACTGTATTCAGATCAATGAAATAACAGTCTCTGTCCATCTGATAGATTTGAGGTCATCAGGGTCAGATCAGGGTCAGATCAGGTTCACTACAGGTCTGTGATCTGAAAGTTATAGGTTCAACTCCTTGTACCGTCAACATCCAAAAATGTGGGTGGTGGAAAAGATGAAACACCCACACCTGCCTACACCCTCATTTGCCCCACTCTGGGCCCTTGAGCAAGGCTCTTAACCACCATCATCTGCTCCCAAAAAAACAAGTCTCTCTTGAAAATGAGTCTCAATGAGACTACCTGTATAAATAAAGGATAAATAATTTTTTTAAGTGCTTAACAATAAATAACAATGGGAGTAATTTAATGGAAGCAAATAAAAATAATAATAATACTGAAAATTAATTAAAAGCATCAAAAGACAAACATAAAAACGCAGAACAATAAAATACTAAATCAAATTGCACTGTATTAAAAGCCACAGGTGTTTTTTTCAAAGAGATTTAAAAACAGGAAGTGAAGTGGCCTGTCTATGTTGGGGGGCATCTAAAGTTATCTTAAATGATTTTGGTTTCTGGGATATTTAGGTTCATTCAACCTTTATTTAGACAGGTTAATCCCATACATGCAACAGTATCTTGTTTTCCAATGTAACAGTAGAAAGATTTTCAAAATTCAAAAAGACATAATTACAGGAAGTGTCCATAGAGGAAAAAACTATACAAATCAGAATCAGAAAGCCTTTATTTTCATTGTATCATAAAAACACAACAAAAGTGCAACTCCCGTCCACATGTCCCATTCCTACATTCATACCATTCACACAATAAAAGTAACAATTCATTTAACCTTTATTTATACAGGTTAATCCCTCTGAGTCTCGGGACTCATTTACAAGAGAGACCTGATTTCTTTAACATAGAGTGATGACAACAACGACAACAATAGACAATCCTAAAAGAGGCATACAGATTTTTTTATAATATAATTTTATAATAATTTTATAATAATAAAAGTAGAACAAAACTACCAGTATACCATCCATAAATGGGTACTGCACATAGGTGTTTTTTTTCACCCAGTACAAGACACAATGACAACATACTTTACAGTGAATAATAACCATATCTCGGGTTGATATTTTATTTTTCAGCATTCAGGACTCTAATGGAACATGGATAAAAAATAAAAAATAAATCAGTCTGTTTCTACATTTTGAGGATCTGAACCTTTTCCCTGCAAGTTGAACATCTGCAGCCCAGGATGGGAAGTGTCAGCAAAGATCCTCTGTTGCTAGAAGTAAGTAGATCTAATCAAATGAATGATGTAAGATAGTTGTTTAAACTTTTGAGTAGTAGCAAATGTGGCAAAATAACATAAGTTTTATTTGCAAGAAAAAGAAAAATCCCTGAAATGGGCTACTACAACACTCAGTGCTACTTTTGTTCAGTAATCAGCTCTCTCCAACACCCAGAAATCAATAGAGCAGCCTGCCTGATGATGAAGCACCACAGTTTCCTCAGCACCTTTTAAATCCAACCTAAACAGACAAATAAAAGCTGTTTAAACCTGCATTCACTTCATGGCTTTCCTTCTTTTAAAAAGTGTGGAATTTCACTGTGGTACTGAGATTCTAGTTTACTTTTTCCTGTATAACATTGTGTTTTGTTACCCTGAGTTTATTGCTGTTTTATTGTTTTTCAAGGAGACTAAATTCTGCATAAGATAATTATTTACAGTGCATTCAGAGTATGACATTTATTTTTTATTCTCCATTTTAAATTTATACCAGTTTGTTATATAAAAATATATTTTACAACCTCAATTCTTAAAAGGTTGGGACGTTGTGCAAAACATAAATAAAAATGAAATGTCAAGGGTAGGGATGCAGGATACTGGATTTTTGGCTGATATCCAATATGCCAATATGTTAAAACTTATTTGGCCGATAACCGATACCAATACTGATATATATTTTTTCCTAGACCTACTTACAGAGACTACCAGTACATAGCTTTCTCTGCTGTGGAATTAAAATACTACATTATTCTGCATGGTCTTTGTCAGTTGGAACTGCTACCAAATGCAGATATCAAAAAGGGGGCTGAAAATAATGTAACACTTCAACTTGAATTATGTTTAATGTCAAATATATTCATGACATTTACTCTCTAACACAATGACAACACTATATATGTATATAAATGTAAAAACAGTGGTTTTTATATCGGTGAGTTATTTTGATGGAATGGCCAATATTTAACTTTATTGCTAATATCAGCCGATGCTATGCCGATAATATTGTGCATCCCTAGTCCAGAGTGCACCCCGCCTCTTGCACAGTGACTGCTGGATATGGGCTCCAGTGACCTCTGTGACCCAGAAAAGAAGAAGATTATATATGGAAGTATATGATGCTTTTACAAGTCAAATATTTTTGGTTGGGCCCTTGAGTTTAGCTCAGACGGCCATTTTTCTTAAACGCATCGTATTTCCTTTGTTTTGCATTGATGTTTACCTTCGCCATTATTTCTTTGTCACTGTAGCAAAACAGGTTAGACCTAATTCTGTTTCTCTATTTGCATTACACTCTTAGCCTGAAGATATGGATTTACATCCGGGGGCGGCTGTGGCTGAGTGGTTAGAGCAGTAGTCCTCCAATGCGAGAGTTGGGGGTTCGAATCCACCAGCATTCACATGCCGAAGTTTCCCTGTCAAGACACTGAACCCCTCATAGCCTCCGATGTGTGTCCCATCGGTGTTTGAATGTGATAAAGCTCTGATTAGTCTCTTTAGAATGATTTGTTCAATTAGCTTTGTAGAGATCTAGTAGAGTGCTGTGTGAATGGGTAAATGAGGACACAGATTGTAGTGTAAAGCACTTTGAGTATCTTGAAATAAGATAGAAAGGTGCTATATAAGTACAGTCCATTTACCATTTACATGAGGAACTCTCAAGTTCTTATCGTCCACTGTCACGGAGCAAAGTGGACAATTAAAGATGTCCACCATCCATCCATCTTGTGGGCTGGATAATTCAATTCAGTTTATTTCTTTGGCTCCAAGTCACAACAGAAGTTGTCTCAGGGCACTGTACAGAAACATTCACAGACATTATATAAGCCAAATTGTAAAAGTTATCTATCTAAGGAAGCAGCAGATTGTGTTGAATCTTCACTTTGTTGCAGTCTCCCGTCCTGAGCAAGCACAAAGGCAACAGAAAGGAAAAACTCCCTCTTTACAGGAAGAAACCTCCATCAGAACCAGGCTCAGGACCAGCGTCCATCTGCTTCGACCAGATGGGGTTTGAGAAGACAGGATCGAGGAACAGACAAACATAGAATAGCAGGTCAGGTTAAATTGAAAAATAAGTGGATACTAGCTTCCATTTAGGTGTGTGGCTGGATCTCGGCATAAGAAAAGTCCCTCTTGAAATTTGGGTTACCACATCAAAATTCAGAAGTTACTGCAATACAAGTATATACGTATTAAAATTTTGTAGCTGGATATCTTGAAAAGTAAGCAATGTGCTGACTTCCATTTTGGAGTGTAGATGCATCCAGGCGTAAGAAAGGTCATATTTAAAAATTGGGTTGCCACGTCAAAATTCAAGATGGTCACCATCATATACATATGTAAACTGGCCACCCCGATCATTTTAGTAAATAAGGCTTTCTAGTTTTTATATTGCTTAAAAGTATAGTTTCCTCAAATGAATGGGGTGGCTGAAGATTAATCTATGGTAGGCAAGGCCACCATTGGCCACCCCTTGGCTCCGCCATTGCACCTGGTGATGGATTAAAAGCTCACTCAGCTCAGCAGTATCCATAATAGGGGACATCATTGTACCATTTGTATATATGAAATTTTCATTGTCTGATGAAGCTCATCCTGGTTGTTATGTCACGGCAGGGCAGTCTGCATTCCTTCTGCCATGTCAGTGGCTGGGAGGGGTTCACATATCAGTCCCATGCTGTCACACCTACGTCAGGTATGAAGTACGCTGTGCAACTTTCCTACCTCTGATCGCCAAGAACACGACACTCCCAACAGACTTCTCAATCACTCTCCATAAGGGCTAGATCAAGAGAATAGCTAGAAAAAATAATTATCCTCACATTTTTATGGGGGTATAATAACAATATTTAACATTTATTTAAACCTCCACATTTTGAAGATTATTTTAAATACCTTTTTAGTTGCATGCTTCAATAAGAAATGTGCTCAAATGCTTGACCAGAATGTCAAACGATTAAAAAACACAGAATCATAAAGTGTCATAGTTTAAGGCTTTAATGTTCAGCTGTTTCTATAAGACCATATGCTGGTTAGATATAATGCCATTTATTGGAGCTTTGACTTTTATAACCTGTCAGAGCTTCTATTCCTTTTATCAGCATGTGTATAAGGAGCAAAGTCTGCTGTCAGTCATAACGACTAAAACATCAACAGGGCACTGATACAGTTGTGCTGCAGGATAACAGTTATATTATTTTCTTGCTTTATATCGACTAAACATGAATAGTTTTTTAAAGAGACAAATGTTTAGAGTGTTAAATTGTTAATATTTAGTTTAAGGCCGGGTCAGACAGTCATATTTCAGCACTTGTTTTGTGAGTCTGCTTCCTCAACAGCCAAGCTGAACAGCAGGTCCTTCAGCTCTCCACCCAGCTTACATTTATTCTCTGCAGCGAAACTCCTGGTTGAGAGAGAAATAATGACGATGGAGGCAGAAACATCTCGAGTGAAATTTAAAAAAGGAAAAGTTTTCTTTCATTCCTCAGCCAAGCCACTCCCTTGGGTGGCCTCCCCACATTAAAAGCAGCAGGAATGACATTGAAGGGTGTGACAGTGCAGCAGTGTGACAGACAGCTGTTCGTACCTGGACCAGAGAGAGGTTTACCTTTGTAAAACAAGAAGCAGGGACATCTGTGGAGGTAAGTGTCTGTTCTTTCTCCAGGCCTGAGTCTGTCTCTGTACTTTTTGTGTTTATAAGATACTCCAAAAATAGTGCAATTTGTTAGATGTAACTTATTAAAACATAAAAATTGAAAAGCATATTATGGGGTCAAATCTGATTTTATGGCCTAGAAAATATAATTTAGGAGAATTGTACCTTTTTACTGTGTTTTCATTCGTCTACTTGAAGAATAATGCAAGAAAAACGTCTTTATTGTCAACTCGATACTTTTAAATATATATTTAATGTGGAAAAAACTCAAAATGCATTGAATTTTTGTTTCTAGTTTGTAACTCCTGTATCTAAAAGAAAGTTTATTGCGCAATAAATGTTTTAATTTTGAAAAAAAAAAAAAAATGCATGTCGGCCCACACCATTTTACTGGAGACGGAGGAACAATACACAACAAAGTCTCACGAAACTGTTTCAGATGAGATTGCTGACCAATGAACATTAGATCGTTTTAATAAAAAATATAAAAAGTGCACAAAGCAATAAAAACACCAACTTAATAAGTGTTATCTAGGTTGATGAAACAGTGAATTCAAGTCCAGGAAAGTTTAGTCAGAGAAAACATTGATTTGTATCACAGATCTAATCTGCCACCTGCACGATATGATCAGAAAATACTTCTAAGTATTGAACATTCTGATCAACAGCATATGTGGATTAGCACTGAAATTTAATTTGTTATGGGTTCAAATTAATCTATTTCAGCTGTTCAGGTTTATGTTTACAATTAATTAGTGCAAATGTAAAGCAAAGCAATTTGCTAATCATTTTAATTCAGCCTGCTTATCTGATGATGTCATCTATTGAAGTGATGTAGTGATTAAAAGGCACATATTTTATTATTACTGCTATTATTTGGCATGTGACTGTATAGGAATAAACTGAATTGAATTGCATGTAACTCTGTTTTGCTGACTGTGGGTTTGAAGGAGTGTGATGGAGGTGGGTGTGTCTTAATGTGGGCAGAGATCAAGACAAACCAGTTTGAGACTTTAATGGCTGAGTCAGTGGTTGAGCAGAGCTTCTGCTGCTGGACTGAAGGCGTGGTGACAAACCAGCCCAGCAGCATGCTCACAAAAACCACCCCGGAGTTCAAAAACATATGAGAGGGGGGAAAAATACAAAAGAATGTTAAGGACTTAGAAAGGGGGGGGGGGGGGGTAAACGAGTTCAGTGAGCTCAGGGTCAATGATCAGCCTGCAGTGACATCTAGTGTCTTATTTGAGTTTTTGTTTCGACTTTCAGGTGAAGTATCAAAATGAGCAGGTACTCAGCAAGCTGTAAGTATTCAGTTTCTGTTTGTTTCAAGGTTTCTCACAATAAAAATGCGTGCACATAATCTCTATTTGTTCAGGGTACTGGCTTTTTTTTTTACAGAATGTACTGAACTTTAATTATTCCATCAAATAGATCACTGTCAAAGCCACTGATAAGTTAATTAATGGACTTTGTTAGGTCGACGTGAACCTTAAGTTGAGCACAAATCATGTGTTAATCCAACAAATGTATGAGATCTACAATAAGTTCCTTCTTGATTCTGTCCTGCAGCCAAAAGCCTTCTGAAAGACAACAGCTGGATCAAGAAACTAGACGATGAGGATGAAGCTGTGGAGTAAGTAACTCAGAAGGCCAACAGACTTTGACTGAACAGACTGGTGCTACTGGTACTCAGCACACCTTTTCACATTCCTTTTCACTCGTCACCTTGTTGACTCATCCCTGCCTGAATGAACAGATGTATTCATTGGACTTCTCCTCTCACAGCCAAGACCCCAATTTTGGCAAGAGTGTTTTGGGTCGAAGCAGACCGGATGAAACTTCTGACGGGTAAAAAAATTAAAAAAGAGATTTAAGTTCCCTTCATAGGCAAAGAAAGTCACAAGACAGTGGTGAGGCCAGCTGTGTTGTGTGGTCTGGAGCAGGGGTCTGCAACCTGCCGCTCTGGGGCCACATGTGGCTCTTCGGTCCCTCTGCAGCAGCTCTCTCAGGCTTTGACCAAAACTAACATAAAACATTTCATTTAAATTATTGCCAACGATGAAAATGGCTTGTTTTATCAGATTTCCTGTCATTTTCAAATATGTGAAGAATAGTACAAATACAAGGCGTTAAACATGTGGACTACATCGTGCTAGTAGTTTGTTAGCCACGTTAAGTCGACTTCCAGTCTCACAGCGTGATCTTTCTCAAAACCACCAGCATGCTTTGGAATATCTTTAAGACAAGTTGCTGAGAAGGAATAGGGTGAGTAACTTTGATAACACTAAGAATAAAACACAAAAAACAAAGTGAAAGTAAACGAAAGTATTTATTTTTCTTTAAAAAAATGTAATTGGATATCCAACAGACTGGCCTAATTTTATACTTTTAACTTTATGCTTTTAAGTACCATATTTTTCAGACTATAAGGCACACTTAAAATCCTTGAATTTGCTCAAAGATCGACAGTGATCCTTACAATATGCATTATGTATTACTTCTGGTTGTGCTTACTAACCCTGAACTGAGATAGGTAGGATAGTTGTAGTACGCATGGCACTTAATTCTTCAACGATTAAGAGAACTCATATCGGCCTGCAGAGTCCTGTGTTTTCAATTTTTATAAAATTATAAAAAATTATATATTTTTTATTTCTTTACATGAATCTGGTCTTTTGTTTTGTAATAAAACGTAACAATATCAATAAATGTTAATAATAGACATTTTTTGTTTTATAATATCACCCCCACTGGCTGGACAAACCATCTCCAACAAACCTGTAGTGGTCCACGGGCCACCAGTTGACAGTACACAGTTGCAGCAGGTTTTTCGGCTCCGGACACATCATAAGCAAAGTGGCAAAAATGTCTCTTTATATCACAAAGGTTGCAGACCCCTGATCTGGAGACAGTGGCACTGATAAAAAGAGAAAGAACTGGAAGTGGCAGAAATGAAGATGTTGAGGTTCTCCTGAGGAGTGACAAGGATGGATAAGATTAGGAATGAGATCATCAGAGGTACAGGTTGAACCACTGGGAGATAAAGTTATAGAGGACAGACTGAGATGTTTTGGATATGTCCAGAGGAGGGACAGTGGGTATACTGGTAGAAGGATGTTGGAAATGCAGCTGCCAGGAAAAAGACAAAGAGGAGACATATGGATGCAGTTAGTGAGGACATGGAGGTAGTTGGAGTGAGGACAGAGTGGAGGAGGATGTCTTGCTTTGGAGACTCCTGAAGAGGAAAAGCTGGAAGAAGAAGAAGAAAGAAGGCAAAGAAATTACAAAGCATAAAAAGTGTGTTGAGAAATAAACCGTTAACGATTTTTCATTCTCTCATGCAGTTCTTCAGAACTAGATCCAGCCAAAGGCACCACCAAACCTGCATCGGTGCTGGCTCTCAGCAAAAGGTAAAACTCTAGTTAGCATCTTTCTGAGATTATTATTTATTAAATATATATATATATATATAATATATATAAATATATATTAGGTATGTTGTGACAGAAACCATCACTTCTGACTTTCTTTCGCTGCAGGTTTGGAGGAGGTCAGGATGATTTGAAAACCAGGTTTGGATAATATTTAATATTTTTTATCCTGCTGCTAATGGGTAGAACGTTTCTTGTTGTTTGTTCTGCATGTGTGTGTCTGTTAACAATATATCTTTTTTGAGTTAATATGGCTGCCACAGATAACTGACCTGGAAAGAAAAATAGCACAAAAAATGTCCGTAACTGTGTGGTAGTAACTGAGATTGATCCCCAACACGTATTCTGAGCACTAACAGATCTTTGCTCAAAATGCTGGTGTTATCTTCAGTCAACTCTGCCTGTTAGCAAAATATTTCATGAGCTGCCACAGGATAAACTGTTATAAAATGTTAGCAAAATAATCAATGGATTTACATCCACAATTTTTTATTTTCTTATTGACCTTCATTTATCTGCAATTAATTAACTTTTGGAGCTAATTAAATTCAAGATGGCCATCGCAGCCAATTCACTTACTAAACTCACAAATGGCTATATTTATGTACATTTTACACATAATGTGCTAAAATTTTTGGTGTGGCTGAAGCGAAGAGTTATTCACAACATTTACTGCATGTGCCACTCATTGTGCAAGATATTTGCTTTAAACTTTAGCAGTAATTGTTGGGTTCAACCATGTTCATCTGTTAGCAAAATATTTAATTTACCAGTGGACATATTTTAATGAAACTTTCAGAAAGACATTATTTGATGCACATCTACAACTAAATAACATTGGAGCCAACTCAGTTAAAGATGCAGTTTTAACCAAAACATCCACAACATAAAATGATCTCAGTCTAAAACTCTGGTACGGATGGTGGCAGGTGATATGGATTCCTTTAAGGAATTCTAGGCCGGTAAGATGTTTGGTATTTAAAGCAGACACGTGGTTGAACTGTATTTCTCTTCTCCTGACAGTTCTGTGTCTTCAACAAGGACTTCAACCTCCTACACAAAGAGGTAAGTTTTTACTGCTAACTTTATAGTTATACATGTTTTTTTTCTTTATTCTTTCTTTTTTAACAAAATGATTAAAACCATCTGCTTGTTTGTTTTCATAGATACTCAAGTGGGAAGATGGATACTCCCAGCTCGTACGTACAGCTCCAGTCTTATCAAATAATCAACAGTCAAGTGGGAAAACAGGAGATTTGATGTGTAATTATGTTTTTCTGCTGCTACGACAGGTTCACGACTACTGTCAAAGATGAGCCGAAGACGAGGTACGCAACCGAAATCTGCAACAAATTAAGAAGAAAGAAAAGAGGAAGTTTTCTTTTAAAATAACTTTATTCCTCTTGTTTTAGCACTACAACCACAACAGTGACAAGGAACGGATCTACAACTGAGACCACCACCATCACCAGCAGCCAGACTATCAAGTACAGATCAGCGTACATTTGGGGGAATTTTACTGACATAAGAGAGCACACATTTTCAGTTTGAAAGCAGGAATTCATCTTTTTGTTCTCAAAACTTGCAATGCTTTCTCTCAAATCTTCTGCTCTCTAGCATATATTCTCTGTGCTCTCTCAA